AAGAAAATGACCTTTAACCTTGTAACCCTCAACGATAACAAAGACCCTAGCAATGATGATTGCAAAGATGTTAACGAAGATGATGTAATGAGAGAGATGAAGTTTTCTTAAATAATGTCGAAAATGATGAGCATGTGCTGTGAAAAAAAAACTCAATGATGATGATGATGATGATGATGATGATGATGATCTTGGCGTAAGAAAAGTTGACAACGATGATCATGATTAAACTGATGAAAACGTGATGATAATGATGATGAAAACGTGATGATGATGATAATGACGAAAACATGATGATGATGATGACGATGAAGACATGATGATGATGATGATGACATGATGATGATGACAAAAACGTGATGATGATGATGATGACGAAGACATGATGATGATGACGAAAACGTGATGATGATGACGAAGACATGATGATGATAATGATATGATAGTGACAAATCACTCACTTGTATCCTCATTATAAGAAGCTCCATCCTTGTTTTGATGTCATCTGGTGTCTGTGTGTGGGTATGTGTGAGTGTGTGTGTGGTTTGGACGACGATGGCGATCTTTATAATGTCGTTTGTAATGATACGATGAATTATTAATAACAGACAGACAAACGAACAATCAATCAAGCATAGAAGCAGACAAGCACAAACACAGACACATAAGAACAGACATAACACATACACAAAGAGACATAAATCCAAAGAAGCAAGCAACCAAGCTACAAACAGATGAACAGGTACTGAACAAACTGAAATTTGAGGTTGAATATCACCAATGTGTGTATGTTTATATGTGTGTGTGTTAGTGTGTGTGTGTTAGTGTGTGTACGTGAGTGTGTGTATGTGTGTAATTATTTTCACAAAATGTTGTAAAATTGATTTTCTGCCTTTCATAGTGGTCTCTATGTCTCACACGTAAGCCTCACACATTTTCTTATTTTACCATTTGTGGTTGCGGATTTCGAATAAATAAATAATTCCACATGCAAATATGACGGAACAAAATTACATACTAATTAATGAACAGAGATACAACCAATCAATCAATCACTCATCGTTTAGCGTCCAGAGACCCAGTTCTCCCGAGGTAGGACGTTGCATACTAATTAATAAACAGAGATTCAAGCAAACAAATAAACAAGCCCTCATACACAGAAAGAAACCAACAAAGATACAGAATAACAAAAAAACAGTCAAACAAAGATACAAACGAACGAGCAAACGAGCAAACGAACGAACGAACGAACAAACAAACAAACAAACATTCTCCAGGTGCTGCAAGTCAGTGACAGGCGCCTCCATGAAGTTGTTGACGTTGATGGCTGACTTTGCACTGGCTGTCAGTTCCTGGCGTTGTTGTTGAATGAATGGATGGATGAATGAATGGATGGATGGACGAATAATGGATGGTAAGAACGAATGATAAGTAAACGAATGCGTTGGTAAATGAATGAAAGAATGAACGAATGGATGGGTAGACAGATGAATAAAATGACGCATGGTTTGATTGATGGATGGATGGATGAACAGCGGATGCACATTAATGAATGTATGGATAAAAGGTATGTTGAACAATTTAGGACTGATGGATTGATGTAAGATGGATGAATTAATGGATAAATGGTGAAAAGATGTATGAATGGATGATAAATTGATAGATATTAGTGAAACAAATACAAACAAACAAACAAACAAACGTGGAGATTGGACTTCTTGTAAGCAAGAACACCTCCAACAGTCACTCCAGAAGCAACTAGCAAGAGTCTGCAGGAAATGGGATGTTGGGAATGAATCGGGATGTTGGGAATGGATTTGGAGATTCAGGAGTGGTAGGATGACAACAAGTCAATAGGATTAAATTTGGTAGGGTGAGGTTGTGTAATAAATAGTGAATTGGCAAATGAATTTTGACAAACTTTAATGAAATTAATTTATTTTATTTCAATAACATTCATTTGTGATTGCGTCAATATCCGTCAATCCATCAATTCATTCAAGTTGATATAGCAATATGATATATTAATAACGTTCTATATTGAGTTTGGAAGTTGTGTCATTTGAAAAGAATCCACTAACTAAGTACATATGAATATAATAATTAGAATGTAGTATAGTTCAATGGATGTGATGCTGTTTTATCAAGCAGTATTGTATTCTAATAATCATAACCACCAGGATGTGCGTCATGTATTATGTCAAAATTATTATCAATTTAAATTATTTAAATTTGAATTATTATCAATATTATTTTTTTATTCAACTAATCTAATGGATGTGTAGACAGATGAATGGTTTGGATGAATGGCGAATGCATATTAATGAATGTATGAATAAAAAGATTGTTGAAAAATGGATGAATTATTAATACATAAATAATGAAAAGATTTATAAATGGATAAATTGGTAGATTTATTATTATTTTATTTATGGATGATGAATTGATAGATTTATTTCTATTTTATTTAATTAATGGTGCTTTCAGCTATTTTAATTAATTAATTAATTAATTAATTATCTTTAATTTTATAAGCAAGATGAAATTCTTAGGTTCATGAGATATGAAAGCAAGCACACGAACGCATATCTCCCTGTCTTTTTATTTTTCAACAATGGCGACGATGACGCGGCCCTCGAGATATGCACCAGCGGCCTGAAAATCCTGGAACCCAGAAATGCCATTTCTGAAAATATGTAAAAAGTCACAGAGTATTGAGTTAATTCTTGAGAGAAAAGGTGATTATGCAATCCTAACAACAATTAGTTGAAAAAATGGTAGCAACTTTTATTAAAATTTACTTGAGAAGTTGGAAACTCAAAATGAAAAAAATTACGCACGCACGAATCGAAACAAGGACTTGAATCTACTTTTAAATTTGTTAAAGGTGAATTTAAGTTTTCAAGGTATAAGCTATAAAAGCGCGCCTCGTATTATATAATAAAGAATGTATAGAAGATATGAAAGAATATATACAAATGTAATTAGAGAATGTAGAAGTATTACATAACATATCTAAAATTAAACTTTGAACTTAAAAATTTTTTATAACTACTTAACAATCTTTAACGATTAACAGGCTTTGCTTTCAACAGGTCTGCCAGGCAGCAAGTGTTCTTCTGAACATTAACATTAACTTCTCAACGTATTTCTGCATGTCAATGTGTGCGTGCGTGTTATACATGAATCTTCTTATGTCTGCCCTTCCACATTTATTAACTGACACGAAACATGGGTTAAAAATGTTTCTACCTTGCCGACCTTTTCATGTTCATCATACAATTTCGTGTCAAATATTTTATTTAAAACGGCGTTTCTATGTTATTGCACATATATACAATATATGTTCTCAAAATTTTCAAAGAATTAGAACAAAACTAATTAAATTATAAACTTATTAATCCGCCACTGGTCAGACAGGTGGTGGTGGTTATGATGATGATGATGATGATGATGATAGGACAACGGTGCGGTGATGAGACTGCAGTTGATTATGATGATGACGTCTAGTTGCTCGTGCCCCTTTCTTTTCTCAAATATCTCCATGTCTTGTTCTCCTGCACTGGCTGTCTATTTAAATAGAATAATTCTTAAAATTTGCACATGTATGTACAAGTCTCAATCTTAATTATTTCCTAAGAACTTATCAAAAACATTAAATGAACCTAAACGCCCAGCCCTGGTTTACGATTGTCATCTCTTTCCGGTTTTTCCTTAATTCCTTTTAAACGCTTTTACCGCTAAGTTTGTTTTTATTTTTCCTGAACTCTCTTCCTTCTTCTTGAACTACTAAAATTCATTGAGAAGCGCCGTTTGATATCGCAGAAATAGTGCTTTAAAAACAAATTTATTTAGTTATTTATTAAAATGAATGAATGAATGATGAATGAATAAATGGATGGATGAATGAATGAACGAACGAACGAATGAATGAATGAATGAGTGATTAATTGATTGACTGATTAGTTTATTGATGTGGTTACGTCTTCAGCTCCAAATCTTTCACGAAATTACATAAACTGCACTTTTATTGAAGTTCATGCTGGACGAACCCTATTTGGCTTAACTTAAAAAAATCCAGTTCAATGAATGAAAGAACATTTTGTCAGTGGCTATTGAAAAAAGAAAATTAATTTGATACTCCATGGTTTTAAAGTGTCCTGATTATAAAACATTGTATGAAAGTTATATTTAGAGGTGTAATAAGCCCTGATATTGTTTCTATTTTGTTCTGTTAAATAACAGAACACAAGTTCTGTTTTGTTGTTATTTTGTAGTACTTATGTTACCAACTGTAGGACAGAAAACAGATGAGTTTCAAGTTTTTAGCATTTGGACCGCGTGTTTGGTCAGATGAAGTTTACAAGTTTTAAAAATTATACTAATGCTTGTAATAACGACTTGTAATATCATTTTTTCATTTAAAAAATGAGCGTTCAGTATATGACAATTAAAAAAATATGGAACGTCAAAATCATTTGAAGCTTCGAGAAAATTTTAAAGATGTTATAATGTGTTGAGGAGTCTTTATAACTCGTTAGGAAGAGCAACATTTTTGAGAACGCGTGCAAACATTTGTATGTGGTCCAAGGAACAGACGAAATTGTCAAAGAAACCAACGAACAGTTAGTCGTGCCGTCTTCATGCATATTCTTCAGATGATTCATTACAAGACTCTTGCGCCAAAACATAAAATAAACACAAAACATAGAGCATTGAAACATATTCATCTTGTTGTTAACGAAGCTTTATTAATTTTGGGTATAATTTATAGGCAGTTTGAATTTAAAAAATTCCTTTATGTTATTGTATGAGTAATTGGTTGAATGTGGAGTACAATGCTTCGATACGGTCTCCATAGACTCAGCGTGAAACTGAAGTTATCGAGAGAGTACAGAAAAAAGCAGCCAAAATGATAGAAGAGTGTTCGCATCTGGAATATGACGATCGATTGAGGTATTTGAACCTACCAACATTGAAATACAGAAGAGTGCGTGTCGATTTGATCAAGTTGTACAAGAGAGTGCATAGGGTGGATGGAAGAGGGTATCCAGAAATAAATAAAGCTGATCTAAGAACAAGAGAACATGGTTTAAAAATTAATACCTCGCCAGCTAAAAGTAATTTAAGTAAGAATTTTTGGATTATACGAATTTTGAACGTATGGAATGGCTGGTTCTGCAATTGCGTTTGAAACGATTGGATGATAAGTTGATGAATGTTGGTGTTAAAAGTGATATGTATGTAATTTAAAGATAGAACATATGCTTGAGTAATTTTTTTTAGTCTTTATTTATTGCAACTCTGACATACGTAGAACCACTTAAAAAGCTACAGATATATGATATATTATCTATATATCTTTATTATGTTCTAAATATTTTCATCCATTTGAAGCAGCCATCTTCGCCACATAGACTGTTTATCCTTTTCACACGACGTACACATGTATTTATGTGCACGCGCAAGCACCGCATCATATACGCTGAGTATATGATAGCCACTGAGATGTTTGACTCAGCGAGCATTTGAACCACTGAGCCACCTCGCCGGCCAACATGCGACGATTTACGTCGTCTACCCATTTACCAGCCTCGAAAGGATGGAGGGTTGAGTTGGCCGGGGGTCGGCTACCTTGATGAACCTGCAGAAACTGCAGGATTCGAACCCGAACACGCTTGTTAATTGACACGCGAAGCGACTTCACTATTAATTTATTTAAACACGTCTAAATAAATGTTTATATATATATATAAACACACACAAACACACACACACACATATATATATATATATGTGTGTGTGTGCGTATGTGTATGCGTGTGTGTGTGTGTGTGTGTGTGTGTGTGTGTGTGTGGGTGGGTGTGTTATGATGTTTTGGATGCGGCCCTGTTGACTCTCTGGGTTATATCGCAATGCTCATAATTCAACTGTCTTCTATGTAAGTTACGTAACCTGAACGAAAACATTTGCGTCCATGTAAACGCGTGTTCTGTGTTGACTGTGTGTGTGTGTGTGTGTGTGTGTGTGTGTCTGTGTGTCTGTGTTGACTGAATTTCAAACGTTTGCGCAATTTTTTCTTCTGAGCTATCTATCTAAATAAGTATCTACAACATTTATGCTGGTTGACATCTCAACCAATTTCCAAGTTCCATCTAGACGTCGTTCGATAATTGATAAATTATTAAATTAATGATTTATCATTGCTATTTTTAGTGCTCAATTTTTCTAATTATGCAACTACCAGCTCCGACTTGAAAAATTGCTTATATTTAATGAAGATACCATTGAATGCAGAGCCAAAAAAGGCTTGAGCATCCGGTAGCAAATATTCAGACCGCAAGATATATTTTTCAGGATTAAGATCTTTAATTTTCAAGTTTCTTAAACCTATTTATTTCTGAAATTCATTTCCGATCATTTCCACTACATTTCAATCTGCACAATATTTAAAATAGTTATCACAAAGCTCGTTTAGGCATTGAAGGCTGTGGGAAGAGTGCTAAAGGTAACGTTGTTTATTGGATTGATTGATTGATTATGTGTACGTGTACAAACACCGAACTGCACTTTCTTGGAGGTTAGCTCAGACTGCAGTCGAACCAGGTTGATGGGTGTTAACAACCTGTGATACTTACATCACCAGACCAGGAAGAATGACTTAATAACAATTTTTCAAAAATTAATTACATTTTTTGCGTACTATACAACAATTATAAGTTTCTTTGTTGTTTGTGTAGTTGTTGTTTGTGTTGTTGGTGGTAGTGCTATTATCATTTTCGTTGTTCTTCATGTGTAGTTTGTGTTGTTGATGTTGTTCCCGCTGGTTGGCTTCGGTTTTAGTTATCGATATAAGTTGCCGTAATAAAAACCCACATAACTAGAATAAATATAACGGCCTTCGCTCACTTTCAACAGTCGAACAAGGAGCTTACTTCCGGAGGCGATTTGGAAGGTGATTTTTTATTTACATGTAATACCATAAATAGTATTAGGGATAGGGATCGATAATAATAACTTTTCTAGCAATTTTGAAGCCATGTCGGCGGCAATAGAACATAAAAAAATTAAAATAATGTAAATTAAGGTGGTTTCGCCTTCTCCAATCATGATTTTTAAAATATACTTACGAATTAATTAAACACTCGAGAATACCAAAAGCTGGAAATTGTCGGGAAAATTTCCGAATGTGATGTATGACAGTTTTCAGAACCTTTCTTTGCAGGAGTTACGACAACACGCTCTCTCTCATTAAATCCACTCAGCATGCCATTTTTTTATTTATAATTTAAGAAGCTAATCCTTTCCAACAGATCAAATTGCGTTCTCCCAACACGTCATATAATTTTCTCCATATCAATCCTTCAAATTTTTATTTCAGCCACTTTTTACTATTATTTGAAAAAAAAACTTTTGCTCTGTTGATACTATCCTGTACAACAATTGATTAACAAACTTTTGAACTAACAGAAACTGCTTATTTTTCAAGTAGTTGTATATATCCATGATTTTTCAGATGGTTTTTTTGTATATGTGATTTTCAGATATACATAATTAAATAAACGGTGATTTTATTCCATATAAATGATTCAAAGTGAAAAAAATAAAATGATTAATGATTAAAAATAAGAAACGATTGTGCGAAAGAATGGCCCATCCCATCACCTTTAAAAAAAATTAACTTTTAACAACGTGTAACTAAAAAATGACTTTGAATGAAAATTGAATTTTAGAATCTGTTTTTTATATTTTATTATTTTACTAAACATTCGCAACGAAAGTTTTTTTTTCTCTAAAGATTTATTTGTTTTAAATCATGAAAATATTTGCCTTATGTTTGAATCGTCAAATTTTAAATAAAAGCCATGCCAGCATTAATATTTTCAATAGCATCATCATTTTCTATCTCTAAAAAAGTAGTTAGAGCAAAAGTTGTCCGGCGGCTCCATCACGTCGTCAGCAGTTGTAGATCGTTTGGCACAGGTGGGCAGAACCGTTTTGTAATGTTCTTTCCTCATGTCATTGTTCACTTCACATGCATCATATTGTTTTTTATTTTGGTAAAATAAAAGTAGTTTGTTTTCTCTTCATACTTCATAGTTCATTAACAAAAAATTTAGATTAGAGTAATTTAGGCTTGCACTAAAAAGGCAATAATGATTGAATTATATGAATGAATGAATGAGTATGAGATATGATACAAAGATAAATAAGCCATATTTTAATATTTATATAAAAATGTGTATTATATTTGAAATAAATTGATTGTTTTTTTTTGTTTTAATTGAATTAAAAAATGAAACAAATTTAAAGATGTTAGAGTTAGATTTATAGCATGAATAACCAGATAAATTGTTTCTACCAAAATGAATTTTTTTACCCCCTAACCTTACTTATATCTTCTATCGGCACCGCTATGCAGGCCAAGCTGATGATGGTAAGGTGAGTATTGGTGATGTGACACTGACCATCAAGAAGCCAAAATGCCCCCATCTGGTTCCATTATTATACAGTATTCAGTTTAATTTTAATTTAAATTAACCTTTCAAGTAATTTCATTATTGTACATAAAATAAAAAGCCAATGTGCTTTGCTTTTCATAAACATATTCAACAAAAATTGCATAATTTTTTTAAAAGTTAATTTATTAATTTGTTTTCTATACACATCTGTTGTAAAACATCCATTCATGTACAATGTCTATACATATATAATTGAGTATTATACATAAGTGTGTATGTATGGTATGTGTATGTGTGTGTGTGTGTGTGTGTGCGTGTGTGTGTGTATGTTATGTATGATAATAGATATTAACGCAGTGAAATACATGCCCCCACATGAAAATCTAGCCCAGAATAGGTCTGAACATTTCATGCGTTAATATGTTTTTTTATCGATGATTCTTTAAACATATTTACTGAACATGCAGAGCCAGAATCTCTATCTCAGACCACACTAAGTCACCTTAGGTGGATTATGCAGAAGGTTGTTTGTTAACGTTAATTAATTAATTAATTAATTAACTAATTAATTAATTAATTAATTAGTTAATTAATTAGTTAATTAATTAGTTTAAACAATTATCATAAAAACAATGCTTTAGATCAGGGGTGGGCCAACTTTTTGCCGTGAGGGCCACATTGAGAAGAACTATTTTACCTTTGAAGGGCCGCATATGTACTTTAATAGCACATTTTTTTGATCAGGGGAATAATTTTTTTTATAAGATTTGTGGCTCCTTTTTTGGTCATAATGTCTGGCTGACGACCTTTTTTTGGTGACTGGCTGGGCAATAATTAGAGAAAGTTTTGTTGGTTAGAGTATGAACATTGATTAATCGATCAATAGTTTCTATGTAGTTAATTTATATATGGGTGAATTAAATATGTTATTATAAATATATATAGTTATCAGTTAATTAATTATTTGTTTATTTATTTAATTAATAAATTGTGAATAATTAATATTTAATGGTTATTATTTGCGATTAACTAATAATATTAGATGTTAATTGTATTTTAATTTTATAATTATTTTTTTTAGGTCATATTATTGTTATCATTCAAAAGAATCAAAATTTATTTCTAAATAATTTTAATTACTATTAATGCACAGATTGATTTATAAAATTATAAAATTTTGTTAAACGAAAAAAAAACAACAAATTAAAAGGATTTATATTTTTAAAAATTAGGACTTGCTAGGACAAGATGTCTTCCTCATTGGACCCCCTGGTTCATTCCGAAGAAACCTGGCCATGATGTATCTGGTTCGTTCGTGAAATAATCCATTTTTTTTTTATGGTATTTATCATCTCAATGAGATAGCGGTTGAGATTAAAGTATGCATTAAAATGTGCATCATGTAACTTGTCCACACATTCTGCCTGGGGCTAGGGTTAGGTCGTTTCTTCAGTTATTCAGATGCTTTCATTGCTCTCGATATCTGTTCTCATCGTCGTCGTCATCACTTTCGTATTTGCAGTCGCCACTATCTACTGCCTTTTGGGATGGCTTTGAGAAATGGGATGTTATTATTGTCGTCGTTAATGTAGTGGCGGTTGTTGTTAAGCATTGTCAGTGTCATGGATATTATCGCCATTAACATCATCCTCATCATCGTCATCATCATCGTCACTTCTCCAAACCAAACAGGAAGTCGTAGGTGTGATTATTATCACCATCAACGTCATCATCGTCATCATCACCATCCTCATCGTCGTCATCACCATCCTCATCGTCATCGTCGTCATCACCATCGTCATCGTCGTCATCACCTCTCCACGAAACAGGAAGTGGTTGGGAGGGAGTGCGAGTACATCTCTCTGTCTCGAGACGTGACGGACAACGACCTGAAGCAGAGGAGGGAGATCACGAGGGGCAGTGCTGTCTACGTCGATCAGGTCGGTGCTGCTGGCCATGATGATGATGGAGATGATGATGTCGAGGATGATGATGATGGAGATGATGATGACGATGATGATGACGATGATGACGACGACTATTATGATGGAGATGATGATGATGATGATGGTAATGACGATGATGGTGATGATGATGACGATAATGATTATGATGATGATGAAGATGACGATGTCGACGATGGTGGTGATGATGATACTGGTGATAATGATTACGTCATGCATTGGCAAAGTTTTGCAGAGATATTGATGCAAATCAAGTGAGAGAAAGTGACAAAGAGAAAGTGAAAGAAATTGAAAAAGAGAGAGTGAGAGAAAGTGAAAAAGAAAGAGTGAGAGTAAGTGAAAAGAGAAAGAGCGAAGGAGAGTGGTAAAATCAGAGAGACTGCAGGAAAGAAAGTAAGAGGAGAGGAGGAGATGGGAGAAGAAGGGAACGAAATGAAAGAATATTGGGATTCTGTTTGAATGAATGAGTAATAATTGTTGGGGCTCGTGATGTAATATAGAGAAATGGAAGTAAGTCTGTCTGGCAGGGAGGTGGGGTCTGGTCTGCTTGGGGCAGGTGGGTGGGTCATGAATATTAATTAAGCTGATAAATAAGTTCAGTAAGTTGTTATCTCTTTAACTGAGCCTATATTCTCATTATCAATGATAACGTTATCGTCATCATCTTCACATCATCATCTTCACATCATCATCGTCACATCATCATCTTCACATCATCATCTTCACATCATCATCTTCACATCATCATCGTCACATCATCATCTTCACATCATCATCGTCACATCATCATCTTCACATCATCATCTTCACATCATCATCTTCACATCATCATCTTCACATCATCATCTTCACATCATCATCTTCACATCATCATCTTCACATTATCATCTTCACATTATCATCTTTGCAATAGACATCAGTGTCTTAATGTTTTAATTCCTATTGTTTTGGTCATTCATCAACTTCATTGTCAATACATTTATAATGATTGGAATTCACTTTTTTTACGTAATGTTCTCGCTAATTTTAAACATGCCTACCTTCTGAATAAATTATGTTAATGAATGGCCAGTGTGCAGTGAGAGCCGCCATCGAGGGGCGTGTCTTAATTTTGGAGGGAATCGAGAAGGCAGAAAGGAACGTGCTGCCTGTTTTGAATAATCTCCTGGAGAATCGAGAGATGCAATTGGACGATGGGAGGTTCCTGATGGCTGCCGACCGATATGATAGGCTCTTGAAAGTCAGTGGTTGATGGTAGGGGCGATGATTATCTTTTGCCTGCTGCATGTTTGTAGCGCGCTGTTTCGAATGATCACGTGGAAATCTTTCACCATTAGCTAGGTTTTCATGTTACTTATTTCCGTTTCTCATTTTAATTCCTCACTCGACCTTCAAGGAAAATACGCCTGACCAATTGGAGTCATTAAAACTAGTCCGAGTTGATCCTAATTTCCGCGTTATTGCCCTTGGCTTGCCTGTTCCTCGTTACCGTGGCAACCCCCTTGACCCCCCTCTAAGGTCAAGGTTTCAGGCCAGGGATGTGCACAGCTGGGTCTACCAGGCTGGTTTACTATTATTTCAGAAAATTTTGCTATAATGCTACTTATTTGTATTGTAGTTTATATATGCGATGATAGATTTTTGAATTACTTGGTGAATTTGTTTTCACCACACAGGAGAACTTGGAATTGTTGAAGAGGAACATGTCAGCCAACATTCCCCTTGATGTGTAAGCAGTCTGTCGGATCGTCAACACAGTATCACATCGTCATTTTCATCACAATTTTTTGGGGTTGTCCCCATTGTGAACATCACCAGCATCATTGAGATTGCCATCACCATTATCATCAGCGTTATCTTCATTAGCAGTTCTCATCATCATTAGCATGCCCCATTCCATGGTCATGTTTCAGTCACTTCATCATCATTTCACATCATCACCACATCATCTTCATTACGCATCCACACCACACCACACATCGCTACACCATTGCCTCATCATCATCACCACACTTCACCACACCATTACATCATCACACTTCACTCACCTTCGTCACCATATCATCAACTGACCAAAGTGATCAACACATCATCATCATCACCACATCGTCATCATCATCATCACCACATCGTCATCATCATCATCACCACATCGTCATCATCATCATCACCACATCGTCATCATCATCATCACCACATCGTCATTCTCATCATCACCACATCGTCATCATCACCACATATCACCACCACCACCACATCATCATCACCCCACCGCCAACATCAGACTGACCCGCATGCTATCAGTGGGACTGGCCCTGACCACTACCGACAGCAGAAACTCCGGCCTACCAGATTTCCCCGTTGACAACCTCGCCTGCATACCTCACATTTTGGTCAGTTGATTGGATGTTTGAGATTTGGATGTCTGGATGTTGATTGGATGTCCGACCCATGACGGATGGAGACTATAAACGAGGATTGATCGGATGGAGACTATAAACGAGGATTGATTGGATGGAGACTATAAACGAGGATTGATCGGATGGAGACAATAAACGAGGATTGTTTGGATGGAGACTATAAACGAGGATTGATTGGATGGAGACTATAAACGAGGATTGATCGGATGTCTGAATGGTTGGTTGACTGATTGGTTTGCCGGCTGGCTGAGACGCTGTTGTTTGTTTGATTGATTGAATAATCGGTTAATTAGTTAGTCAAACGACTTTATGGTTCGTTTGGTGTGATGGATGAGGGTCTTCTTGCATTTGAAACCGATCACCGCAACAGCAGAACTGGGCGCCTAGACCATTCTGCTATCCTGGTCGATGTGCCAGCACTGCTTATCTCATTACTGGGGTCATCATCATTGTAATCGTCATCATTATCGTCATCGCAAAGCATCATCCCATCCCTACCACATCAACATCTTCACCATGTGATGATTACTATCCTCACATCATCACCACTCATCACCAACCACATCGTCATGAAATGTTATCTTCCCGATACAGAGGCAAGCACCTGACTTCGACCAGTTGAAGATGTTCAAGATGATGTACCCCTACACGTGCATGCTCAACAAGGAAGGTCAACAATCCGTGGTCACTCTCTTGAAGGTTAGCCGATTGGTTTGATGGTTGATTGACTGATTGATTGATTGACTTACTGACTGACTGACCGACCGACCGACCGTCCGACCGACCGACCGACCGACCGACTGCTGATTGATTAATTGGGTTGATGTAATATTATGAAATATTGTATTTAATAAATATCAATTCATTGGTTAACAAATCAGTGCTTTTTATTTTGTGAGTGATTCAAAAAAAACACTTTTAATAGAAGAAAATTTAGATGAATGCTTAGCTATTATACTGGTGCATATCTATCTCATCACTCAGTTAATCTTTAAATCTTTGAATGCAGAATCATCACCAACGATACATTTCTAATGAAAACCTAAAACTCCTCTTAGGACAAAATATAAAACAAATTAGAACAGAACGTATTTGAAGTTAAATATAAATTCATTGAACGAATTATAAAAAATTCAAACATGTGAATGTAAATGCAATCAATTGGGATCAGAGTGGAAAATACGATTGCATAGAACTACTGCTTGTGGTTAATAAGCATTAGATAATAAATATATAATTATTACATTAACAATTTATATACTGTTATAACCGTGCTACCGAACGCACTAGATTCTAGCGTATTCTAGAATGTTCTAGTGACTGGAGCATTCTAGAGTATGCTAGAATCGGACCATCTAGAAGAATCTAGAAACGACGCTTGCGAAAAGTATATAAGCGCACGTCGCAAGAAGATTAGCGATTAGTGATATTCGTGATTAGTGATATTCGTGATTAGTGATATTCGTGATTAGTGATATTCGTGATTAATGATATTCGTGATTAGTGATATTCGTGATTAGTGAAATTCGTGATTTTGTAAATAGCGATTCGATTTGAACCCGTCGCGTCGTAAATCAGTTACGACAGCGAGTATTATAACAATCCGATAGTGGACATGTGTTGTATCGTGTGTTGCTCGTGTTGGGTGCTGGTGTACCTGGTCTTTGGGATTGGCACGTTGGGTTCGAATGAAATGAGCGTTTCCTTTTAGTATGTATGTGAGTTATCGTCTCGTACTAAGATTAGTTTGGAATGGTAGTGTTGTAATTGACATTATCACTCAATCTTCGTTTAGCGTCCAGAGAACCAGTTACCCGAGGTAGAACGTTATTGACATTATAATATATAATTATAATTATTATATATTATTATTATTATATAATTATAATTATGACATTATAATATTTTTTTGTATCGCATCGTTCTGTTTTGTGTTGTATTATTAATGAGTAATACTAAGAACCGTTTGTAGAGCTGTTTGTAGCGTAATATTAATGTGCTTTTAAAAACCGTTTAGTAGTGTAATAGTGAGGTCGGTTAGTGAAAAATTATTTCACTTCCGGACCCCAGCAAGCCGTTTTGGATATTGATAGATAACATGATTTGCTACTGAAAAATAACGGGACACAAACATTTTGTTCAAAAAAAAATTTTTTTTCACTATTTAAAAAATTAATTAGATTTTATTAAAAATTTTAATTGAACAATAATTTTACACAACATTTAACTTCTTTATAAACATAAAAAATTGGAAAAAGTTATGAGAACTATAGTAAGAAAAATGTAATAGTCGGTAAATAATAAGGTAAGACCAAAAAAAATTATGTACATTTCATATGAATCTAAGGTAAGTACTCTTTAATCATCAAACAATCATCATTAAACAGAAAATTAGTATCAACTTCTGTATTTTCATCATCCGAATATGTATCTAAGTTAATCGAATCATGACTGATTGGCTCTTCACTGCAATCTCCATTACATGCGCAAAGCTTTGTACATCGTAACTCGCCGCGTCTACACTTACAATTTCGGCAAACTTTTTGCAGGAACATTCACA